TGGGCGCGCGGCACTTGGGGGAGGGGGAGGGAGAGAGCGTCAGCGCCGGCCCCGGGCACGCGACGCTTGAGGGGAGAGCGCTGGTCCCAGGAATGCGGCTATGGGGGGGCGGGGAGGGCCGCCCCGGGTGCCCGGTGGGCGAACGGCCACGCCCCCTGGCGCCCGGCAACCCCAAATGGTTGGGGACCACTGATCTAGACCATCCCTAACAAGTACTTATCTAACTTGCCCTTAAAAATCTCCAATGATTGAGATTCCACAACCTGTTTTGGTAATTTATTCCAGTGCTTAACCATCCTGACAGAAATTTTTTCCTAATGTCCAATCTAACCTGCTGGCAGGACTGTTCCCCATTCTGGCACTCTGAGCACAGAAGGTGAAGGCCTGCAAGACAGCTTAAAAACCTTGTCTCTACAGGTACTGGTTACAAAAAACTACACCCCAGAATCATATTACACAGATTTTGGGGAATCACTGCCACCATTAAGTGCTTTTTAATCCCTAAAAATCAGGGGTGAGCACTTGAAATCACCCGCAGGGCTATCCCAACCTCTCTTGCCCCAAAAGAGCTTGAAAAAAAAAAAGAGAAAAACAAGCTGCTGTCTCTGGTAGCTGACCCCTCAGTTGGAAGCAAGCAGATAAACACAGACAGACTTTCCAGGACACAAGAATCAAATCACCACCTTAAAAAAAAAAAGTGATTTTTATTACAAAAGACATACTTGAGAAAGCATGCTTGGTTGTTAGATGTTACAGAGCAACAAATTAAAACAAAAAGAAAAGTCTTGGCACAATGCTTAGATGGTAATAAATGGGGATGGGAGGCATAGATTCACACAAGCAGTTCAAACCAAACCACAAAATAAAGAGAATTACCCTGAACATGACTGGATTCACTTTTCCGTTTTACTTACTTCTAATTTTCTCTTTGTTCAGTCCTTTCCCATGCCCTGAATTCCTTGAAGACATGGCAGTCCTGCCTGGGTTTTAAATCATTCTGTGTCTGTCAACTCATGGTTTATCTCTCCCACACAAAGAAAGCAGGCAGGGAATCTATATCAAATTCAAATTTCAACCCTCTATTTCATTGGTTCTCCCGGGCCCCTGGCCATCACCATTGATAGCTACCTGAGCTTAACCCCTTAGTCACCAGGTGCTGGTCAGCACTCCTCCAGTCCATTACACCTTCCCTAACTGCAATTTAAGCTTCTTATCCTAGCCTCAAAGGTTAAGGCTAATAATTTTGTATCCCTGGTTCTTATAACAACTTTTTTGTGTACTTATAAACTTAAGTCTCTTCTCAGTCTTTTCTCCTCCTTCAAAAAAAATTGATTTTTTTTCAATCTTCCCTCATAGGTCATGTTTTCTAGATCTTTTAATAATTTTTTTTTGTTCTTCTGTGGGTTCAGTGATTCAGTGAAATCTTTCCTGAAATGTGGACCCAGAACATGACGCAATACTCCAGTTGAGGCCTAGTCAGCATGGAGTGGAAGAGAATAATTACCTCTCATGTCTAGTTTACAGTACCACTTCTAATACATCACAGAATTATGATAGTTTTTTTAAAATTATTATTTTTGCAACATTGTTCATTAGAATTAGGATACATTCTTAAAAAACATGTTTTGTTTAGTTTTTATTAGTCTTGACTTGAATTCAGAACCCTGCAGGTGATATGTCAAAAAGCTGTTATCAAGAAACGATGTCTGAAAAGTAATAAAGTACCTGAATTTGAACTAGGGCTGTGCATAAAAGGTTTGCATAAAACATGAACCCATTTCAACACAGGATGGACTTGGGTTTTTGCTCTTTTTTAACAGTGCAATGATTCATACATTTGGTTACTTACTGACTTTTAAAATAATATTATTTAGACTTTTATTATATGTAGACCTTTGAATTGGGCTTATACAGACTAGTGCCCATCCCATTGCATCCAGAAGGTGCACTGAGTCTTTTAATCCAACGTTTTCCAGTGTGGGATCTCTTCAGTGGGATCCAGTGTACTGCCTCTTTCTCAAATCAACCTGGGGTTTGTTGTCACTGGTTCTGGGGCATCCAAGGATGAAGAATAATTACTAGATCACAGACAGACTCTTTGCAGAGCTGACTGACACAGACCACAGCTCTCCATCCATCTGGGCCATAAGATGGTACGTACATTCTCTCCACAAATAGGAAAGTTTGAATTCTTCTTCGAGTGGCCCCGTGGGTGCTCCACTCTAGGTGTCGGGTCCCGTCCCGGCGCCGCGGCTCGGAGACTTTTCATAGCCGTGCTCCGCCGGCTCGCGCATGCGTGGTTCTCCAGGATAGCGTTCGCGCCTTTGATCAGCCGCGCGTGAGCCGGCAACCGTCAGTTCCTCTCAACCGCCTCAGGTCGCGATCGGAGCTCCCTGATCTCTTCCCTAGTCATGGTTTTAGATAGTTGTCTACCTGTAAATAGTTAGAGTTTTAGGGTTAGCTGTGTTCCTGTTAACTGTTATGTGTTCTCTTGTTTAAAAAAAAAAAAATTCTTTAAAACTGTTTTCACTCAGAAGCGCTGCTGCGAAGCGCTAAGCTGTGAAATTGACTAACCGCAGCGGTTTTACTCTGAAGCGCTGCGGCTAAGCGCGAAGCTGTGAAATTGACTAACTGCAGCGCGTTAAACAAGCTTCAATCTTTCCATAACTTGACTCAAAATGCCAGGATCAACTGGGTTCAAGAAATGTTCGACCTGCCGAGAAGCCATGCCAACGGCTGACGGCCATGATAGTTGTATTAGGTGCCTGGGAGACACTCATGTCCCCGACAAGTGCACCCATTGCCGCAAACTGACTTCGAGAGCCCGGAGGGAGCGGGAGATGAAGCTCCGCATGTTCATGTTCGGCAAGGCATTGCAGCCTGATCCTACCCCTCCAGCAGCCACAAAAATCTCCCAGCACAAGCGGAGAGCAGCTTCTCCGGGACCGGCAGGCTCCAAAACGTCAAAGCCGTCCCGGGCCCCCTCCCTCCCTGCGGCAGTTTCAACCCCAGCAGCGGCTTCTAAAGTGACCTCCGGGGGGTCCAGACAACTCACGGGGGATGGCATAAAGGAGCCCCCACCATCCAGAGCCAGAGCGGCTTCAGCACCAACACCGGGAGCGGAGCCGCAACTGACCAGCAAGCCGGCATCGGCTTCAGCTTCACGCGCCTTGAAATTGACAAGCGCGCCGGCGCTGCAACTGATCAGCGTCCCGGCACCAGCTTCAACGGCTCC